CTGTAAACACCTGGTCCACACCCCCCCTTTTTTCCAAACCTCCTTGTTCATTGCTATCCTATTCCCGTCTTACTCTTAATTCTTTCAATAAAAAACTCTCCCATCCCTTTTCCAGGTATCCCAAACAACTTATCCCCCTTAATTTTTCACTCCCTTTGTCCCCTTTGCCTTTATACAAAGGAATATGCATGCTCTCTCCCAACCCCTGGGTCCCTTCCCCCTCTTCATACATTTTTTTAATAATTGCACCAACCACCCCAAAATCAATTTCCCCACCTGTTTTAACATTTCTATCTTTATCCCATCAATCCCGGCTCTTACCCCTTTCTTTTTCCCACTGCCTCCGAAACTTCCCCACACTCACAACTGGCTTTCCTCACCCCTACAAGATGTTATTCCTCCTTCCCTATACACGAAACACAGTTTCCCATCTCATCAAATTTAACAATTCCTAAAAATATTCCTCCATCTTCCCAATACCTCTAATCTCCATTTAATAATCTCCTCTCCTTTTTTTAACACAAATCCTTTTTGTTCTCTAGGTTCCTTAATTTTTAATTTTCCACTCCAAAATTTTTCTTTTTTTTAAACAAAATTTGTTGATAACATCTCACCCACTCTCTCATTTGCCTCTTTTCATTGCTTCACCACTTTTTAAACCTCTCTTTTTTCTCCATTAATCTTCCCCTCCTTGCATCACTTCTACTTTTAAAAAATTTATTGCTAACTTTTTCTCCCTTCTATTCTCTTTACATCATCATTCCCCCAATCGTCCTCTTCCCCCGCCCCCCACTTTGCTGTAACCACAAATTTCTGTGAACACTTAACACTAATTTTAAACCAAACCCCATACCTCTGACCCCATTGCCTATGCTCTCATTAGCCCATTATCCCCCAATAGCTTTTAATCTTACCTAACTGCCCCCTCTTTTATTTTTAAAAACCCCTTCACCTCTCTTTCCCTGGCTTCTATTTTCCTTGTTCCATCACCTTTTACTCTCGTGTGTACAAATAGAAAATGATTGTATATCTGTGGCCCCTTATAAACATGTACATCCTAAAATCAAACTCAACAGTTTTTTATCTACCAAATTTATCCAACAAATACTGTCATTTCCCTAATCATACCTTGAAATACTTTTTTACCCTCTTTTTTTAAAATATGTTTTCCCTATAAAAAAAACCCCCTTTCTGTAAAAAGTTCAATAAAAGGGCCCTCCCATTTTTCATTTCCCCCTTTGGCACTCCAAACTTACCTACCCACCCCCTCTCTAAAATTTTTCCTCTTTGGCTTTCGGGCCCCCCCTACCACAATTACTCTCTCATTTGGTTCAAAGGGCCTATCATTCATTTTAACATCTCCAAAACCCTCTCCCCTCTCCTCTACATTCCTTCTTCTCCAGGTGCATACACGCTTATTATGACCCACTTTTCGCACCCAACCCTTTACTTTAATCCCATAATTCTTGAATTTAAAAAACTTTTAATTTTTCTCTTTTCTCCTTCCTTAAATGATCCTTAAAACATTACTCCCAAACCCTTCCTTTGCTCTAACTCTCTCGTTTACTCCGGGAATTTAACCCCATTTATTTCCCCCCACGAAACTCCCCTCCCCCCTTCAGCTTTTTTTTCTTTAGGGCCGGGGCATTCAATTTTTTTTTCTTTATAACATCACCCAATCATCTGTTTCTTGTCACCCCCCAACACTACCCCACGCACATTCAAGCACCCCCATTTTTTTTAAAGTTTTCTTCTTCCCCCCTTTTTTGTAAATGTCTAAAAGGGAAAAGGGGGTTACTGGGCCATTGCCCCCGGGCCCATTTTAGTCGCCTCAACGACACCATGGTTACGGAGGTAAGATTTTTTCCACTTCCCCATGGGACAATAAAAAGAAAAAAAGGAGAATAAGAGCAAATTTAAAAAAAAGGAAAAAAACATAGAGGGTTTGTATATATATATGCATGGGCGTGTCTGTGAAGTGGTGACCAAAGTGAAGTAGGTTAGAAAAAAATCCCTGTTATCTAGCGTGTTTTGAGACAGAAAAAAAAAATTTTATATTTATATACCTTTAATACTTTTTAAGTGAAAACACGTGAAATATTCCCCATTAATTTTCTTTTTTAAAAGTGGGAATCTTTTTTTAAGACTCCCAGTTATCCCTCGGTCGACAAATGGAAACCAAAACTTCCCTCCATTAAGGTGCGGATTTAGTGACCCGCGTCTAATCAAAAAAATCTTTCCAAAATAAACTAAAATAACAAATAGAAAAAATAACGTTTCCTTTTCCCGGGACACTCGGGCGTAAACAAACTTTTTTGGCGGAGGGAAAAGGGTGATGTGCTTTTATTTTTTTTTTAAATACGGGATTTATGACTTCAATGCTTAATACGCATTTCTTCCCCTTTATTTGGTTGGTAATGAATGTTTTTTTTTTTTTGAAGGGGTGGAAAAGGATGGTCCCGACCCCACTTTTGGGCCCTGGATGAAGGAGGGGGATAAATGGCCGAGGGGGGATGGAAAAGGGTTTTTTTTGTACTGTATCAATGATTGTCCAGGGAGGTGGCTGGTTTACGTGTTGGGGATGGCCCCCAAATTTTCTGTCAGGAAAATTTTTAAACCCTTTACTTTGAAATTTTCATTAGAAAGCCCCTTTAGCA